TATATATCACTGTCTGAGAATTCTTTCGGACTTCGAACTTTGATTAAAAACTTCCAAGGAAGAATTAGAATAATTAAAAGTGAAAAGTTTTTGACAGCGTTTGTGGAAGATATATATATATGTATAGGGTATCTCATCTAAAATGTTTTACAAGCTTTTTTCTTTAATATTGTTATAAATGGCGACAACATTTTTCTTTTGACATTTCAATGCCGGCTTACATGACAGACATAGGTTACCGGTATTAGATATCCAGAAGAAAGAAAGAATCAATTGCATTCTTTTAAATAAAATTATTTTATTTTATACATATATATATATCGATTCTCTTAATAATTCTGCATATAGTAGAAGTATATAAAGTATTAAGACAGAATCCAAAAAATCAATTTAGTTTGGCATTTTGTGACATAAAATACATAATACCTGATATCAAGTACAAAGTTCTGTTTCAACTTTTTACGTAATGAATATTAATAATTATAAGAGATGTGACTAAGAGAGATTCAGTTTTTATAGAGCAGGTCGTTACTCCGAAAGTTTTTTATGTCATTATAAAACGTTTCTAGACGAGTGTTGCAAAGTCTAAGAGATCCTTGAATATTTCATTCAAATCATAAAGATGATTTATTTCTTCCACTGTGTTTGTATATCGTGTGTGCAATTTTTGAATAATATTCTGATTTTGTATTTTATATAAAAAGTACATAATTATAAAAATTGTTTTTTAAAGATATTTATTTGTTCCTAAATTCTCAGAAGCGCGTATATTTTTCAATTTAAACATGTAAAAAAGAATAAATATTGCCTGTATTTCCTTTCTCATTTTATAACTTATTTTTATTATTTACCTTATTGAGAGATATCAAAGCCTTTTTTATTAATTCGTTGCGAATGATAAAATCCTGTAATTAAAAAAAATAATGGTCGACGACGATAATGAACACTTGTTCGTTAGAGGAATACATTTTTTGTATTTACAAAAGTGTGTTTCCCTCAATAATCGTAATCGTGCATCCGCTTTCCATTTGTCCGTGTCGACGTGAATCGTCGTCGGTCTGTAATTAGGCTGCATTGTCGCCCCCGGCCTGTTTACCCTCGCATGCAAACGGATTTAATTCGACAAGCCCTAATCATCGACACGGCAAATTGTAGTTTAATTATCTGCAGTGCGACGCGCTATTTTAGGAGTTTGCAGGAAATTGAGTCTCTAGACAGAGCTACGTGCAAGTAAAGTATAAAACATACATCTGTCTGGAAAATGAATGTATTTGAGAATCGATTTCATATTAATCTTTAATGTCTTTGTAAATGTCTAATCGATACGTTGCATTTTTGCGGTAAAAATAGTTAGAATTTATTGCATCGATATCGAAAAGTTTACGATTCTCGACGAATAACAAGAAGATATTTAGTATCACGTGAATTTGCATCTCTATTATATTTCATGAATGGAGGAAAATTTATCTCAATGAATGCTTTTATCGTCTCTTGCAAATTTCGCATTATTTTAACTCGTTCAATGTGTACAGAGAATTGTTTTTAAGGTAATTACAATATTTAATTAGGATTACGCGAATGGGATAAAACGCGCGAGTTTCCATTGTACGGAATAAAAGCTGGATAGTTACCTGCAATTTCGCGATCGGCATATTTTTGTTACTCTCTGGTATTGGATCGAGTCGAGTTTTTGCTCTCTTTCGGTCGTTTTTCGCTTACACTTGCGAGATTGCTCGTAATCGTGAATACGGTCAGCGCGCGACGATTGACCCCGGGAATAGTATTAACAGCTGTTCGCGATCTCACTGCCGGAAGCCGCGACGGAGTTGCCGAAGTTGCTTCGATTAATTCTCGTTTCTCTGCCGAGGCAGGAAGCCGATAAATCGCCACCGCTACGTTGACCTGACAAAGTACGAAACCGGTTTCTGTCCGAGACTGTAATGCGTTTTGCAAAACGTGACGCACGCATGATTCGTCGCGAAGATTTAGAAACTCTATAGCAACTACACTCGATGTAATTTAGGAAATGATGTCCGCGCATAAATAGGAGGATGTTTAAAGTACACTTAGCAATCATTGTCATAATATAAATTAATATATAAGAAAATAATTTAAAAAAAAATTATTTTGTATTGAAATTATTTTATATGTCAATATCGCGCATATTACAAAATTAAATTCGATCATTGCGATTCAGCAGCCAATAACCTCGAGATCCGTCGCATAATCGTAAAAATGGGGAATATAGAGGATTCTTACAATATCTACGATAGCTAGATGAAAACTTTCCGTCACGTAGAGTCGCTGCTTTGAGCCATCGTGTGCGATCGAATCTGATATTAAACTACCGGTGTGTGTTACAGCGCGCAATTCATCGATTTATGCTAGAACTTTCCTTTGCAGGTACCGACAAGGTATTCTTGCGACGAACGCTGCATGGAACAACGACAACGCTAGCGAAGATATCGTCTTCGTAAAAGCGGCGCAACTTTGGAAAGCAAGTAAGCCAACTATCTCCGTTCTCTCTCCTCTCCTTCTCCTATCCCATGAGAGAACGTATTTCCTGCCTCACGAAATATTTGACGAACTAAGATTTCGATTTTCGATTCTGATCAGAGAATCACGCGAGAAGTTCCGCTCTGGAATAATTCCCGAGGAGGGATACAAAATGATGCTGATGCAGGAGCCAGGCTGGAAGCTGGAGCGCAAGGGCTCGGGAGCGCAAGTGTTGCGCAAAGACGGCTCTCACTTCAAGAGCAGCACCGCGCGGGTCTGCTTCCGGTGCGACGTCGAGGTGCGCGAGTTCGAGCGTGACGAGGATTACGGAACGGCGGAGAACGCGGAAACGGAAACGGCCGCGAGTCCCCTGGCGATGCTGTCGAGCTGCGTGGCCGCGCTTTGCGTCACCATTCTCCTGCCGTGGCTTCTGATCGGGGGTTAATCGCGCCGCTGCTATCGCGTCGATAGCTCCGCGGCGGAACGTCGCTTCAATTAATGAAAAAGGTTTGCCATCGCGTCTATCCGTTGTAGACTGATTTTTAATTACTGCGAGAAAATGAGTATTGATATGTCCGCCAATTGTCACACACAGGTGGTCTCAATAATCACGTGTTCAAGATGTGAGATCTGGTGGTTGACGATGATCGTAACGCGAATCCTTGGATCGAATGACGGAGCGAATTTCAGTCAAGAGCGAAAAATCCCGTTCGAATATGGACTATCGAATGATGAATCATATCCAACGAATAACATCACAAATTGCGTAGACGAGATTGCCGCGGTTATTGTTCGACCGGTAGATCGGGATGCAGAAATGAACGGGTTTTATCGCTATGATATCGTATAGGATTTGTGATAACACGTGTTGTATTTGTGGTATCCGATCGATACGGCGATCTAGAAGTTTGTGTACGCTCTCGTCGATTTTATGGCTTTCTCCGGAAACTCTCTGGAATTTATGGCCGAACAATGTTTGCAAAATTCGAACGCGTCGAAGAGATTCCTGATTTAATATGTGATGAACGTAGTCATATTTATATATGTATAATATAACGATCGACTAGAAGCATGTTGCAAATAACAAGAGAGTTTGATTGATTTTTTGTACTTGCGTAATAAGTAAAACAAGAAAGAGAAAAATGTGGTAAGATATACACATCGATCTTATAATCGTGATAGAAAATGCAACGTGTGATTGTATTTTGTGCTAAATGTTGCATAGACTTTTATAAATATTTTCTATATATATGTTGTATAGAAGGGGAGGGAGAGGTGACAAGATGATGAAAATAAAAAAAAAAAAAATACTTCAAATCTGGAAGCATCGGCGCATGATTGATTTCGATACAACCTGCGCTTGCTACAAGCGGCATCAAGACGCGAGTAATTTACTATCTTCTCCCGTTCCAGAAATCAACGGTTACATCGACGGCTGTTAAGATTTAATGGTCCTATGCGGCAGCTGGTGCCATTGCAGATTTATCTACGGCTACTTTATGGGCTCCGTTATATAGGGTGCCCGAGGTGTAATTTTATTTATAATCGTATATTTTTCCCGAAAAGTATCTGAATTTGTTCACATGTGACGAGAGAAATGATTTTGAAACTGATACAATTATTTTTGTGTACTTGACTTTTCTTTTTTTACTTCAGTTTGCATATTAATTCTGTTTTGCAATTGTATTTTTATTTTCAGAGTCTCTAAACTTTGTGCGTGTATTGTGAGAAAAATAATTGCGAAACTGCGTAACATGTTATACTGACTCTTGTGTGTAATTCTTTTTTCCACTAAAACATATCTAACTTTTTACCTTAATTTTTTTTTAATTGGTATTTTTTTACCGATGGTATTTTGTTCATCTAAAACATATTGCATTGTTGCATCATAACAAGTAAAACTTTTATTTAAAAATTAAAAACTTTAAGTCAATTTTCGATGAAATACTTTTTTAATTATCTTATTACGATTCTTTTTAGATATAGGTTAAATTTTGCATTATTTCCCGCGGAGGAGTACAATGATGTTTTAATTTTACTGCAATTCATATCGCGCACATATTATAAATTATTATATAATGATTTATTATATCAAGAATTACAATAATTTTATAATAATTTCATTCCCAAACATGCATTCACGCGGACTGTAGCAATATTATAATACTACGAGTATTTCTATCTCCTATTTCCCGACATGCACATCGCTGATTAAATATACAAAATCTCGGTGAACGTTTGCAGTCTTCCGTGAAATTACACAAAGTGCAAAATACCGTTGCAAGTTAAAGAGGTTGGGAGAAGAATCTCTCTAGTATTACGATTCGGCAGAAAATCTCCTTCGTTTCATCAGAATCGCCGATATCTTCGCGCAAACGAAAGAGAGAGAGAAAGGGAGTTTTTCGCACTCCGGTAAACTGGTGAAAACTGGCTCCTCACTTCAGGTTTCAAAACGAAAAGAAAAAATTTACCACAGACCTCTCGCGCGTCTAGTCGAAATTTATTTCTTCTTGCCTCCCGCGAAGCCCTCATCCATCTTTCCGACCCGTAAAGTAGAAACCGAGATGCAAGGAACGTTCCAAGATTCGCTCTCAAGGACGAACATAAACTCGCACGAGCACGCAAGATTACGCGTAACGAATTTACGGCCTTCGACAAACGGAGGATACTAAAACAGCAGTGATATTTTCAATCCCATCATTCGACTTTACTCTCATATCTCGTTCAAATTTTATCTTTTAATTCTAATTTTAATTTTAAATTCTAACGGTAAAGATCTTTAAATTGACATGGTGTTCAATTCCACGCGACGGTAGACATGAAGAATTTGTAGGAAAAAAAATCACGCACCCGTGTTGATTTTATCCTGAAAAACAAGTATATATAATCGATTGTTTATTCATCACAATATAAATGATACGACGTGGCGGACATATATAATTATATATATATTTTTTTTTCTTTCTCTTTTTTGTGTTATGGATGCGTGCAGGTAGAAATTGCGTTCGGCGAAATAGCGGCAGTAAATCAAAGTTTATTCGTCGCGTAAATCGCAAACACACGTGGCGAAGTACCGTCATCAAGCGGACGACAATGCTGTTCAACAAATTGTGCGCGCATATGGGATTTGGGAGTAAATATTACGTACATATACACGATTATGCATGAGATACTATAGACCGGGAGAATGCATAATCAACATTGTATTATATTTGTGTTATGTTTCTAATGAAATTACAAACAAGATACGCCCATTGTTTTCTCGTCGCTTTAATAATAATTCATTTCAATTTCCACATGTTGTAGAAACAGATCAAATATTTTCGTTTAATCACTCTAATTATATTGATGATGTATTACAATGCACTTTGTGTTATATTTTTTAAAAATGATTTTCACATTCTTAATGTTTGTTTTTTAATCAAATTGTTTACTAGCATCCATTGTTATTATATACAAATGTTACGGTGGAATGGTTGAAAATGCTACGTTATTTTTAAAACTTGATTTTTTTTTTTAATTCCGTTATCGTAAATAATTGATGTCCCGCACGTACTATCGAGATTTTTTAAATTATTTCAAATTTAACTCTTTGATTGTAATATATTCGGAGGTATACATTTTGTGTGATAAATCAATATTAGATTTGTATGTGTTCTTAGTCACGAATAGATGGAAAATAAGCGTAGAAAGGCAGAAAATTGAGATATTACAAATTTAATTTAATTTGGTAACACAAATTAAATGTACTTTTCGTCACAGTAACACGCTTTGATGTAATTTATTGGAATTAGCAGCACTAATGTTATATAGAACAAGTAACTTTAATAATTTGACTCAATGTAACGTCACGCGATGAATAGGATGATTGAGTTCACGAACGAAGCAAGCAACTTCGACCGAAATCGACCGACTCAGACATATGTGGTTGTGCCTTTACGGTTCGAAAATCTCGACGCATCGAGATGTTTTTAGAGGCCGAAAATCCGTAGATCTCGATAGTACATGTGTGAAAAAGTTAAATCTCGTAAGATCCATTTCGTCAGACCTCGCATCAGATACGCATCAGCACGTAATAAAAAGCTAAGAAGGGGCTGTCTCTCAATAAACTTTATGATGGGCAGATACGAGAAAACTGCTTTTGTCTGTAACCGGCCGTCCTTCACGAATTTTCTTACATATGTGCTGCGCGTTCGAGCGTATTCTATAAACGTTCATTTATTATATTTAACATGCTTAATTTAATAATTATTATCTTTTTATCATAGAAGGTAATACTTTGATCGTGAAATATTCGATGATTTCAAATGGTATGTATCGCCATTGTTTGTCTTGCCGCTTTTATCGTGCTTGCACTCTGAGCGGGGGATTGTCCTCCAGGGGAACATTGAGTGATTACAATAAAATGATTAATTTATTACATTATTTGTTGCGTAATTAATAACTAAAAACTAGTGAAGACGTGTTGCCAAATATTAATGACTTTAATAAATAATTTTATATAATCTTATCTAATGTTTCACTTTTTTTTAGATTTTTGAGAAATTATTATACTAATCAAATTAATCGATATAATACATTTATCATTGTGTGTGTGTATGTGTGCGTGCGTGTGAATTTATGTATAAGCTAAAATAATAAAAATATCAATGTTCTGATTGCTATCATTTATTATGAAAGATGTAGTTATTTGCATTTTGAATCACACAATCAGAAGTCGCTTTTGATCTCTCCAATATGTCATTTTGAGAAATATATATAATTTGCATGACAAATTTATCAATATATCAAGACTCGCGCGATTTTTAACGTATAATAATCTCGCTGCGTTGAGAAAATATATAAAATCGTCGGATAAGAATAGAAAAATCGCAGTGAATAATGTTAACGAATTCGTGTCGTGCAACGCCCACGCTCTTAATGAAGGCAATACAATTAGTATGCGCGACAATGGAAGAGATCATTGGCGGCGGGAAGAAACGAATCTCTTCCGGATCTGTTTCCCTCGCGACTCGCATTCTCAGCGTTCCATCGCGCAAAATATGCGCATGCTTTATAAGGACCGAAGAAATGTGTGAATTTAATTTTGCGGTGCCTCGGGCGCATAAATATGCATCGTTCCTTCTTCGCGCTGATTTATGCGCGATTATGCATTTACTGAGGCGGGGACGGATTCCGCTGACCGAGAACGGTCAGCGATTTCGAAATTGTTGGGTATAGAAGAGAGCGAGAGAAAGAGAGAGAGAGAGAGAGAGAGAGAGAGAGAGTGAGGCGACATAAAAGGACCGTCGAGAAAATTTTAATTGATAGCCAGGCCCTTCCGATAATCCGATCGAATCGATCCGTCTTGCCGCATCCGCGCTTCAATAAATTCAGAATCATAGTTATTTTGTACTGTATAGTAAGAATTTTCAAATGATATAGTCTTTTTCCCCTTTTTTCAGTTATAGAGAAGCCAGAAGACAGATCTTTTTTATATATGCTCCTGTTCTTTTCTTTTATATTATATATATCCTTGTATTAAACATTTTATTATATTTATTACATTTTACTATATTAAACATTTATATTAAATATATTATTAAATGTATATTATATATATATATATATATATATAATATATTAAATGTAATACTTATGCATTTTATATAAATATATATGTTTTGTATATTCTACTTGTAAAAATATTTGTGTATATGTATTTTAATATTGTGGGATTTACAAAATATAATATATATTTTCAGATAATTTTATATAGTATTAATTTAATTATTACGCTAGATATTTTTCAGCGATTTAATTACTCTGATGCGAATATTTGTTTCGAAGTTTTGTTTTCCTGGAAGCATTTTGCAAAAATTAACTCAATAATATATGATAAAATCGGCAAAATTAATTATAGTTGATTAATATTTAATTAATTATAATTAATCGTCTCGTTAAATACATGGGCATTTATAATGTGTATTCGATAATTGATATTTTAATTCCTGTGTAAATAATTTTACAGAACTTGGTGATATCTTTTCTCTCGGAGCACGTACGACGACCATGAAAGTTAATCAAGCGGTCCGACACATCGGGCGTTAAATTAATCCCCGCACATTGTGTGCGGAGTCCGCGAGAGATTGTAACCAGCCACTACGGCTGATTGATACAAATTGACATCAATTTCCTTCAATTTGCGAGGGACCGCGAAATTTTAGAGACGTTAAGCGGCATCTGTCGACGGTTGCGATGCGTCTCTTCGACGATTACGGGCCAGTTATACACGATCGATAACTGGCAGTCGTCGGTAAACTCGGAGAGATGTCATTTCGAAATGTGTAGATAGGTGGCGTACCGGCCATATCTTTTTGGCGGTGGTACTTGTGCGCGATTTTCTAAACGTTATTGTTTGTATTAAATTCATAGATTTTTGTGCTGAATGTGCTGCATCGATTGATGAAATTGCGTCAAATTGTAAGTTTAAGTGTTCAATTTAAGTTTCCAGTTCAAAAATATAATTCTTTTTACTCTCTCATTCATTTTAGTAACATTGTGTAGCGTGTGTAGTCTCATTGTGCAATTAGGTTACTTCTACTTCCTACACTTACAGTTAAAGATTAACGATTAACTAAACATAAAGATGCAATGTTATTTTTATATGTATAAAGTCACACAGATATCGAATACAAATTAAAAATATATATAATTTATGTTCTTTTTTCAGCTGCCGGATCTGAACAACCTCGATGAAAAGGTGAGTCTATTATTACATCGTAATAATACACTTAATAGTAATACACAAGATAACTACCTGGAGTAAAAAAGGAACGCAATCCATTATTTGTTTAGAGGTGAGAATTATCATATAGTCATTGATACAATTTAGTTCTATAATAATACAATAATAATTGACGTGCATAGTCGATGAGTTTGACAAAAAAAGTCTGCATTTATAAGAGAAATATTCGATAGGTGATGACAATTATAACAAAACGGTGTTGTGTTATGCATAGATTAAAAAAGTTAAATATAGACGAAGAACATTTCATAGGTGCATATAAAGATTACCGACATTGCTAATTGTGCACGGAAAATTACATATCTAGGTGACTATTATCATAAAGTGGTGAGTCAACGCGATGCAAATAATAATGAAAATGCAAAAAAAAAACTAACTATTCCGACTTATCTCCGCCGTTTATCTTATCTATTGCCTTTTATTCAACATTGCCGCTAATAATATCTTAATTAATTATAATATAGTAGATAGATATGATTCACTTTTTAATCTTCCTAATTTACACATTGTGTTCACTGATACATTTTAACTTGTTGAAACATTACCATGTATGGAAGCTCATTTGCGATTCGTTAATACTGAGTTTTGAGCGATATTCCATTGCTTTTTTATATTAAATTTTTACATATATATAGTAATTATTTCCAATGCATTATATAACTTAGTATTAGATTGAAAGATAGTATAGAAATAAAAAAATTGTTTCTTTTTTAATTTTTTAAAATAC